CTCAGCACCACATAAGCAAAAAGAAAAAAGCCGGAAGTGGCACTGTGGCTCAAGTGGTAGAGCGCTAGCCTTGAGCTGAAGAGCTGAGGGGCAGCGCCCAAGCCCAGAGTTCAGGGCCTGTGATCTGACCCCCCCAAAAAAAAAGAAAAGAAAAAGCCTCCAGATCTTTATGAGCTTCAATGTTTTCTCCGTCTAACAGAGATAAAAATAGGACGTACTGAGAGGAGCTAATGAGCTATGTATATGTTCAGCCCTGAGCAGGAACTGGCAAAAGGTAAATGCTCAATAATTAGGAGGAATGAGTAAGTCAGGTTGTGAGATTCTATTCTTGTTTTGTTCCCTTGCTGAGGTCCTGTGATGCAGTTCTACTTTATCCAAAATGACTTTGTCTAGACACTATGATAATCTAGGTGAATGAAATAAATAATGGCAGACTATAGGAAGGCCAGAAGGCCCATGTAGGCCTCAACTGTAACTCATTTGGAAATAGCTTCAAGGAATTATTTTCCAACGATGTTTCCCATAATATAAAGCTAAAGGATTAAAAGAAATTGATGATCAGACACTGGGGCTCATGCCTGTAATCCTAGCTATCTAGGAGGCTATGTGAGGATCATGGTTAGAAGTCAGCCCAGGCAGGAAAGTTCATGAGACTCTTAACTGCATTTAACCACCAAAAGGCTGAAAGTGGAGCTGTGGCTCAAGTGGTCGAACACTAACCTTGAATGAGAATGCTAAGATACAGTGCTGAAGCCTTGAGTTCAAGCTCTTTTCCTGGCAGACACACACAAAAGAAATAGATGTTAATCTAGTAACTTTGGCCTAACATCCATGCATTTTGAATTATTCTGTTGTTACATCTTATAGACCTGCTGTAACAAACCTAAGAAACATTTTTTTCAAACTCAAAGTGATTTCATTTGAGCTATCTTTGGAGGCATGGATGATACCAAGTACCTATTTATTTAGCAGTGGCATCTATAATACAGTAGTTAAGGGTCTGGACTCATCCCAATAGTTAGACTTTAAACTGCCATTTACAAATTCTGCAACCCTTGGGAAGTCAGCACAACTTTTTGTCCATCAGTTACCTCATCAGCAAAGTGAGAATGACTGTCCCTATTTCAGAGTTTGTACCCATTAGTTGAATATGGAGCCTATCAAACTTTTCTGTGTGGGTTGGCTTTGAATCACCATCCTCTGGGTCTCAGTCTCCTGAATAACTAGGATTTACATGCATGATGTCCAGCTGTACTTACTTTTACGAGGATTAAATTAGTTATTATATGAAAAATAGTATATGTTTGCCACTACGATTAATACTGTAACCAGAGCAATTTGTTGCACTTTTTCCTTTTTTTTCTTTTTTGTCCCAAAGTAATGCTCTACAGCTTGAGTCACAGCTCCACTTCTGGATTTTTGGTGGTTAACAAGAGATAAGAGTCTCACGGCCTTTCCTGCCTGGGCTGGGTTTGAACCACGATCCTCAGATGTTAGCCTCCTGAGTAGCTAGGATTATAGACAGAGTCACGGGTGCCCGACTGTGTTGCAGTTTATTATTAAAAGGAAATAGTTTGGATAACGTAGGCTTTCCCCAAGATTTTAGGAGGTCTCGATTACTAAGGCCTTCCATTTTAGGAACCAGGAAACCAGAGGTTTCCAAAAGGGAGGTGGCATTTGCCACGATTGTCCAAGGGCTGCCGGGAATTTTACAGGGTGTGGGTGGCGTTAGCACGGAGAAACTGCTGCTCCAAGGCGGATTTCCGGGATCGCAGCGGACTCACCACCTCCGTTCCGCGGCGCCGCCCACTTCCCTTTCGCTCCACCACCTAATCCCACGGCATGGCCTCCCGCCCCGCCCTTAGTCAGAGTCAGGAAGGCTCCCCGCAGGCTTACGGCGTGCAGAACGTGACAGATGGAAACTGCACGTCCTACCAGTCCCTCGTATGACAGACAGCTTCTTAAAGCAATGGCAGCGTTCGGGTCCTTGTGGGTGACCACCAATAGTCGCTCTTCTGTTCGACACGCACAAAGTGGCAGCCGGGAAGGGGCGGGAAAGGAGGCGGGGCCTTGCGGGGAGGTGGAGAGTGCACGTTCCTTGCCCGCGCTGTGCTCGGCATTCTGCACGCGTCCTCACTGCACGGCGGCTGCAGTATCCACTTCAGTTCTCGCCGTGTGTCGCCCTCGCAGTATTGCCAAAATGTCGCTTTCTAACAAGCTGACTCTGGACAAACTGGACGTGAAGGGGAAACGGGTCGTGATGAGGTAATTCTATTTGTCTCCCCGCGCGTCCTTGGGACTCAACCACAAGCTCTGTGGCCCCACCGATTTACTTTCCCTTCTGCCCGTAGTTGCTTTTGCCTTTCAGATTGATTATGGGGATCCTAGCCTTGCAGGGCGAGGCTACGATTGGGCTTGAAGATTCCCAAGCGCTTTTCTCTAAGCTCAGATAGCGTCTTTTGGTAGTGGACGCTGCTGAAAGCACAGATTGCTAGGACCTGTTTCGCACTATTTCCTATTGCCGAAATGTACTTAAATCGCTCCAGCTCCCGATCGGCGAGGTGGGATCTAATGCTGATTCTGCAGATCTCTAGGCCCAAAGGAAGGGACCTTGAAAGGTCATTTGGTAATTTCCCTTCCCCCACCCTCCCTCCCTAGACCATCCCACATAAACGAGAAATCGCCCACATTTCTAAGGTCCCTATACAAAACGATATCTTTCTCAGGGGAAGTTTTTCTCAGGAGTGGAAGCCTCTAAACAATTGGGAGTTAGAGGAGAGGTCTACCGGATGAGGCTCTGTACATCTTATGTAACAAGCCGGCTCTACCTACCCTGCTTGTGGCTTTGGACTCTGGGCCACGAGGTTTGCATCACGATTGTGACACATGCCCGGTAATGGTTGAGCAGGGTGTGGCTACTCTTACTTGCAGTCCCCGCAAGCCTCATTCCCCCCCTCCCCCCCACGTGTGGCTAGAGAAGCTGATATTAAAAGTCACAAAGGCATCCCATACTCCTATGGGGTGGCTGACCCTGGCTCTGTCCAAGTGGATCCCTAGTTATTTCCAAGATTGGGTTCTCCCTTATCTAGGATGGTATATGGAATTTCTACACTTAGCCTTTTTGAAATGTGTAATATATTTTATGCGTATAAATACACACAAAGTGAAGGATGATGACTAACTACCCTCCCGTTTAAACTCCATAGGATACAAGGATGACTTTTTAAATTTTTTTAAGTGTCGGTACTGGGGCTTGAACTCACGGCCTGGGCATTGTCCCTGAGCTTCCCCCCCCCCTTCTCTCAAGGCTAGCGCTCTATTTAAGTCACAGCTCCACTTCTGGCTTTTTGGTGGTTAAATGGACATAAAATTGCCATGAACTTTACTGCCCAGGCTGGCTTCGAACCATGATCTTCAGATTTCAACCTCCTGAGTAACTGGGATAATAGGTATCAGTCCACCCCCACGTGGCTAAGGATGGTAGTTACAAATGGCTTTGGGCAGTCTTGAACATTTATTTTGAAAGTGGTTGATTGCTGGACCCAGTGTGTGGTGTGATCTAGCTCCTTCCCCCTTTTGACACGTGGTAATGTGGACACAATATGAATCCCATGATGAAGGGATAGGTAACTGAAAAATGGGACACGTGGTTGCTTTAAATGGAAATTATGTCCTTTATGAACTGTGCTCAGAGCTGACCTTTCAAGTGGTGCTGGTCAGATTCCTATAATTGCACACTAGAGCTGTAGCTCTTTTGTGCAGGGAAACTACCTTGGGGAATTAAGTGTACTTGGTTGGGATGGGGCTGGAGGAAGAGTATATCTTTTTCTCCCTCGGGGTACCTAGTAAAGTTTCATTTAGCACAGATTAACCTTGAGGCTTACTCCTGTTTTCCTGATGGAATGTGACCTTCTGTAAGGTTATTTTTTAATTTTTTTTTTGGTTCCAGTCGTGGGGCCTGAACTCTGGGCCTGGGTGCTGTCCCTCAGCTCTTCAGCTCAAGGCTAGTGCTTTACCACTTGAGCCACAGTACCACTTCTGGCTTTTTTCTTTTGCTTATGTGGGGCTGAGGAATGGAACCCAGAGCCTCATGCATGCAAGGCAAGCGCTCTACCACTGAGCCACCTTCCCAGCCCTAAGGTTATCGAACTAGCAACTTTGTAGGCAAAATTTGGGTCTCTGACAACCAATCAGTTAGTTCCTCCATATACTTGGCCATGAAGACTAAGGACAGGTTGAAATAGACTTTTTCTCTGTTGAAGGTTATAATCAATAGTTCTTCAGTGTAATCTCCATTTTCCATCTGTAATAAATTGTAGTTATTTAAACTGAGGGCAAGAAGTTATTTGGTTCCCTAATTATTAATGTACCTCCCTTCAACAGAGAGCTCCATTGTAGAGTTACTCTTTTAGAGGAACCCAGGCAGCTCAATTGCTTTTTGTTTCAGGGCCTTTATGTGGTGGTGGTTGTTGGCAGTGTTTTAGCAATGGGGCCTCCTGAACAGGAGCTGTTTTGCTTGCCACCTCTGTCCTGTAAAAGGACACTCTAATATTTATTCATTTGTCTGGTTCTCTGGTTTAACTTACAAAGGGAGATTGCTTTGTTGGAATTTTAGTCAGAAACCTGGGAATGGAGCAGCTGGGTGCCAGTGGCTTATTTCTGTAATCCTAGCTACTCTGGAGGCTGACAGATGAGGACTCTTACCCCCAAACAATCATCAAACCACTCAAAGTGGAGTTGTGGCTCAAGTGGTAGAGCACCAGCCTTGATGAAAAAGCATTTAAGCCCTAGGACTGGCACAATACATTTGTACTCGTGTGTGTGCACACACACAGTTACCAGGTTACACTTCAGGATTCTAGGTCTCCACTTGAGTTTATGAACCTTTTGAGTAAATTTCCATAGGTTGTCAGACATGCTTTGCTTCCTTATAAACTACTCCCTTTTTTCTCGTTCCCTCCTGCTTTTTTTTTTTTTTAAAGCCTTACTGGTTTTCTCTGACTTGTATCCTTGTTAAGCAACAGTCTTGATGTGGTGGAAAGAAACAGAAAAAAAAAGATAACAGTTCCAGCCTAAGGCAGGGAAGCAGTGGAACTAGGCCTGAAGTCCTAAGATTTCAAGTACTGAAAACTTGGTATTCCAACTAAATCATTTTTCGTGCCAGCCCTGGGGCTTGAATTCAGGGCCTGGGCACTGTCCTTTAGCTTTTTCACTCAAGGGTGACACACTACCACTTGAGCTTCACTTCAGGCTTTTTGGTGGTTAATTGGAGATAAGAATCTGACTTTCTTGCCTGAGCTGGCTTTGAACTATGATCATCTGATCTCAGCCTCCAGAGTAGCTGGGATAATAGGCATGACTCACTGGTGCCTGGCTTCTAAATCTGTTTTAAAAAGTTTCATTTGAAAATAGCAAGGTGCTAGTAGTTCACACCCTGAGGCAGAAATCTGGAGGATTGTGGCTTGAGGCTATTCCAGGCAGAAAAGAATGGATGAGTCTGTCTCCAAAATAATAAGCAAAAAGTAGGTGTGAGTTAAGTGGTAGAGGTCCAGCCTAGCAATCTCAAAGCCCTGAGTTCAAACTCCAGCACCCTCCAACCTCTCAATAAAGATCAATTCATAGAATCTTGCCAAGATTATATAGAAAAGTCTTGAGTTTTCCACAATGGATCCATCTTACATAATTATCATACATCAAAAGTAGGAATTTGAGGGCTGGGAAGGTGGCTCAGTGGTAGAGCGCTTGCCTTGCATGCATGAGGCCCTGGGTTCGATTCCTTACCACCACATAAGCAAAAAGAAAAAAGCCAGAAGTGGCGCTGTGGCTCAAGTGGTAGAGCGCTAGCCTTGAGCTGAAGAGCTGAGGGACAGCGCCCAGGCCCAGAGTTCAGGCCCCATGACCTGACCCCCCCCCCAAAAAAAAAGTAGGAATTTAACACTGGTGTAGTATCCATAACTATTGCCATTTTATTACATGTGTAATATTGTATAGCCTCAACTACCTCAATCGAAATACAGAAAGAGCTCCTTGAGAGCCAGAGATGGGGGAAGGATTGAAGTTGGAGGCCAGCCTAGGTATAAAACTTGGTGACATTTTATATCAAAGAATAAGTCCTGCATAGTGGTACACTTACACAGGAGATGTATGTATAGGGATCATTTGAGGCAACCCTGGGTAAAACGCATGAGATCATATCCAAAAAATAAGGAAAAAGGGTTGGAGACATGGCTCAAGTGTAGTTCCCACCTAGCAAGCGAGAGGACCTGAGTTCAGTTTCCATTTGCATCAAAACAGAATGGTTTCAGTACCACCAAGACATCCCCATCCCATTTCTACCTCTTGGTAATTTCTAAAGTTTTGTCATTTCGCACTTATTATGTAACCCTTAGAGATTGAGGGCTTTTTGTTTTGCTAGTGCAAGAGATTGAACCCAGGGCCTCACTCTTGAGGCAAGTACTCTCCTGTTGGGCTACCCTCTACCCTTCAGTTTGACTTTGTTCTCTGAGCATTTATCCAAGATCTATTCAGGTTGTGACCTGAATCAATAGTACATTCCTTTGTGTTGCTGAGTAATTTTCCATGGTCTGAATGTGTCATAGTTGAATCATTCATCCACTGAAGGGCATTTGGGGTTATTACAGAATGATACTCCTCTTAACATCTTGTACAAGTCTTGGCATGGATGGAGGCTGTAACATTTTCTTGGGATACTGACATAAATGGACATAAAATGGGGCAACTAGAAAGCATAATGGGCAAGAGCAGTTCCTATGTTGGGAGTCCTCAGAGGGTAAGTTCAAAGTAGACTTGGAGATATGGTAAGGAGTGGTTTTCCACAGGGCACGGGCAGTTTTCATCAGTAAGCAGGTACCATGACAACAACTAGGTGAGACAGATTTCTACCCAAAGCCATGCCTAGGGCTAGGGAGCAGTGGTGCAGGGGGGGGGGTGACAGGTGCTCACCCTTCTGCCACTAGCCATTTTCACCTGAGCCTTGCGGGGAGGCTACATGGGGGAAAATAACTCTTGGTAATGGGATATGTGATCTTTGGTATGCACTTTAACTCTGGCAAGGGTAGGTTCAAGATTATTTAAAGAAGATGCTTAGAATCAGGATCAAATGGCCTGAAACCAAGTCGAGTGCCTGCCTGCCTTTCCTCCTTCTCGTCCTTCCTTCCTTCTCTGGTGCCTGTGTTTGAACTAAGGAACTTGTACTTGTCTCAATGAGGCTCTGCCACTAGTCACAGCTCTTTTTGCTGGTGATTTTGGAGATGGAATCTTGCCAAAACTTCAGCCCACACTGGCCTGAGACCTTGCTCCTCCAGATCTCAGCCTCCTGGGTAGCTAGAATTACAGATGTAAGTCACTGGTTTGGAAGCAACATACCTTTCATTTTGAAGACTTTTTTTTTTTTTTTTTTTGGTCCTGGGGCCTGACCTCTGGGCCTGGGCGCTGTCCCTCAGCTCTTCAGATCAAGGTTAGCGCTCTACCACTTGAGCCACAGTGCCACTTCTGGCTTTTTCTGCTTATGTGGTGTTGAGAAATCGAACTCAGGGCCTCATGCATGCAAGGCAAGCATTCTACCACTGAGCCACCTTCCCAGCCCCGTGAAGACTTTTTAAAATGTTTGACGGTAGAATTATTTCTCTTAGTTCACCTTTAGGAAGGCTACTCAGATTGGAGGTCAGGCCTAGGGTGTATAGATTAGCAGTCATCTTAAGTTTGTAGTATTTTATAATCATTGCCAGCTCTCACTCTGCTAGAGAGAGGAAAGGGTAGTGACAGCAGAGTTTGGAAATGAATATCAAGGAAATTTTTGTCATCTTCTTGACTAGGTCATATTTCCTGTAACAGTGAGTTGGCACTAGATTTTAGTAATGGTTGATGTTTCCGATCTCAATTACAATGTGAAGCATTAACATATAATCATTAGCACACTTTATGGCTCTTTTAAACACTACAAATTGCTACCTTAATTTCTCTTAATAACTACAAGGTAGATATTAGCATTCTCATTCTACAGATGAGAAAAGATTCGTTTAAATATGATCTTGGTTTGTGTGTGATGGTACATGCCTGTAATGTTTTGGAAGCTGAGGCAGGAAGTTTGTGAGTTTGAGGCTAGTTTGGGTTATAGAGTGAGGCACTGTCTCAAAAAAAAAGATCTTGGCAGGCAAAACTTAGACATCAAAAAAATGGGCTACCACACAAATTGTTGAGTAGTTTCTTAACAATGATAAAGCAGTAATCTGAGGTAAGAAGGGGAATTCTGCCTGCTGTACAATATCAGTTTGTGACATTTTGGTCACTTCCTTTCTGATTGCCTGTTTATCAGGTGGGCAGGGCCTCACTCTTACCCTCTCCTTCCTGCTTTCTGAAAGAGGCTGCCTTCTTTATATTGTGTGCATATTACTTGACAGGTAACGTGTAAGCTTGATACTTGGGCTCAGGGTTTCCACCTAACCTTAACCCCTTAACCTTAACCTTATGTGGTGCTGAGGAATTGAAACCAGGGCCTCAGGCATGCAAGGCAAGCACTCTACCACTGAGCCACCTTCCCAGCCCTTGTTTTACTTTTCTAACTAAATTTTCTCCCCCTTTGGAGTAATGTTAATTTCCTAAGGATTCAGAAATAGTCTCTAGAATCAGAATGCCAATACATTCCTTATTATTTCCTTGCTGCCTTGGGCTACTACTCAGATAACTAATCAGGCCAGAATAAAAAAAAAGTTGTTTAGGTGGAATTGGCATTGACTTCCCAGGTCTTCAGGGCTAGTTCTTGTGGTGAAGTTTCTAAAGTATGAGATACATTCCTAAAAGGGCACAAATAATGTGACTAGTTAACCGCAAAATGAGCATATATTTGTACTATCAGGTCCAGAAGAAATGGGACATTGCCAAAGTCCCAGTTCCTGCATCTACCCTTTTTCTCCATGGCTAACTTTGATCTTGACTTCTAATGCCACTGATTATTTTTAAGGTGAGATTTGGGCTTTAGTTTCCTTAACTGAGTAGATAAAAGTACTTCTAACCTTTGAGGGAACAGTAAGGTAATTGCTTATAACTGAATCTGAAACTTTATTTCTTTTTAGGGTGGACTTCAATGTTCCTATGAAGAACAACCAGATAACAAACAACCAGAGGTAAGGTTCTTACAAAATCTGGACTGAAGCAATTTTCCTTTCATATTATAGAACTCCAGCAACATAAACCACATGATTGTTGACTTCCTTCCAACCCACAATCTGCTCTTTAATTGTAGGCATTTAAACATTCTAAATCGATGAGAAAATATAAATTAAAAAATAGCCTCCTAGCTGGGCCTAATGGGTGCCGTATGCCTGTAATCCCAGCATTCGGGAGTCTGAGGGAGGAGATGGCAAGTATGAAGCTAGCCTGGGCTTACATAGTGAGACCCTGTGTCAAAATGGCAGTGAAAACATTGTCTTGCCAGGCAGCAGTGTCTCATGCCTGTAATTCTAGCTGCTCAGGAGGATGGGATAGTGAGGATGGAGATTTATTTAGTTTTGGTTGTGGGGCTCATTAAGAGAATCAGCTCGTACTGGGCACCAGTGCCTCATGCCTATAGCCTAAGGTCTAGAGGATCACAATTCAAGGCCGGTCCTGGCAGAAAAATTCACTGGATTCCATCTCCAAAAAGAAGAAAAGAGCAGGGATAGAGGCATGGCTCAGGTGGTAGAACACCAGCCTACGAAGCACGAGGGTCTGAGTTCAAACCTGCAAAAAAAAGGGACAAAAAACACAGCTCCCAGGTTTTAAAGAAATAGCTATATTTAGTTAATTCATATTAATGGGATTGTGTGGTATCTCCATACATGTGTACAGCATTCATTGATCACAGACGAGAACATGCCTGATACAGTGTGGTGCTTATTTCACTTAACATAGTATCCTCTGGTTCCATGTGTTAAGCTGAAAATAAGAGGATTTCATTCTTTAGGACTCAGCAATACTATATTGTATATGTATACCACATTTACTTCAGCCATTCATCTGTTGATGGGTAGGCACTGAGGCAGATTCACGATCTTGACTATGGTGTATACACCTCAGTACGGTGTATATGCCTCAGTAAACCTGGATGAGCCAGGTGTCACTTGTCTGCTTATTATATTTCCTTTGGAGACATGCTCTAGGGAGCTGGTCATGTATGTATCTTCTGTCTAGCAATTTTCCAACTTCTGGAGAGAAGCAGGTGTTCAACCTCCATTACCTTGATGTATAGATGATTAATTACTTTTTGCTGGTCCTGAGGCTTAAACTCAGGGACTGGGTGCTGTCCCTGAGCCTCTTTGTTCTCAACGCTCGCACTCCTATCACTTGAACCACAGCACCACTTCTGGCTTTTTCTGAGTAATTTATTGGAGATAAGAGTCTCACAAACTTTTCTGCCTGGGCTGGCTTCAGACTGTGATCCTCAGATCTCAGCCTCCTGAGTAGCTAGGATTTACAGGCATGAGCTACCAGCACCCGGCTTGTACAGATAATTTAGACTGAGTGTGGTAGCCTGTTGAGCCAGAGAACTGAGGATACATTTTATTTTTGTTTGTTGTTTTTTTGTGTTTTTTTTGGGTCCGGTTGTCGAGCCTGAACTCTGGGCCTGGGCGCTGTCCCTCACCTCTTCAGCTCAAGGCTAGTGCTCTACCACTTGAGCCACAGCGCCACTTCCAGTTTTTTTCTTTTTGCTTATGTGGTGCTGAGGAATCGAACCCAGGGCCTCTGGCATGCAAGGCAAGTGCTCTACCACTGAGCCACCTTCCCAGCCCTGAGGATACATTTTAAAAGCCAGGTTGTTCCATGCCAGCCAGGCCTTAGCACTCCAAGCACATCGTTCCATAGAGAGGAGCTTTTGGGGGTCTGGGAAAGTGGCTCAGTGGTAGAGTGCTTGCCTTGCATGCATGAGGCCCTCAGCACCATGTACACAGAAAAGGCCGGAAGTGGTGCTGTGGCTCAAGTAGTAGAGCGCTAGCCTTGAACTGAAGAGTTCAGGGACAGCACCCAGGCCTAGAGTTCAAGCCCTGTAACCAACCAACAAAAAAAAAATTAAAAAAGAGAGGAGCTTTTGGTCTGCTGTGCTAACTCTTCATCATAAGGGACAAATCCATCGTCACACTGTACTATGCTAGGTAGAGGGCATGGTGTCATGCATCCACCTTTGAATGATGACAGATTGGATGAAATTTGGAAAAGAACATGGGCTTTTCTATTTTATGGAGTCATGAGTAAAATACTTTCCCTTTTCCCCCATCCCAATCCTAGGAATAACTGTTTCATCTACTTTCTTTTTGTGGTTGCAGGATCAAGGCTGCTGTCCCAAGCATCAAATTCTGCTTGGACAATGGAGCCAAGTCAGTTGTCCTTATGAGCCACCTGGGCCGGCCTGATGGTGTCCCCATGCCAGACAAGTACTCCTTAGAGCCAGTTGCTGTCGAACTCAAGTCCCTGCTGGGCAAGTAAGTGGTTGGCTCTGGTGCTGATGAATGTTGTAGGGGTAGGAGCGAGGTAGTCAGGCTGTTACTGGTCTTGACTGTTCCTGGCAGATGGCTCACATCTCTTCATCTCTCGCTTTCCCAGGGATGTTCTGTTCTTGAAGGACTGTGTGGGCCCAGAAGTAGAGAAAGCCTGTGCCAGCCCAGCAGCAGGGTCTGTCATCCTGCTGGAGAACCTCCGCTTTCATGTAGAGGAAGAAGGGAAGGGAAAAGATGCTTCTGGGAACAAGGTAAGTAGCCATGGTGCTTTTCACTTGATTTTTGTTGTTGGTTATGGGGCTTGAACTCAGGGCCTGGGTTCTGTCCCCTGAGCTTTTTTGCTCAAGGTTAGCACTCCACCACTTGGAGCCACAGCTCTACTTCTGGATTTCTGGTGGTTCATTGGAGATAAGAGTTTCATGCACTTTTCCCTATCTGGGCTGGCTTTGAACTGCAGTCCTCAGATCTTAGCCTCCTCAGTATTATAGGTGTGAGCCAGCAGCACCTGGCTTGACCTGTATTTGCGAGAGACTGCTTGGACAGTAGAGGAGGAGACTCATGCTTACTTTTTCCTTTACACACCTTTTTCCTGAAGTAATATGCATGTAAGAATGCACACATGAGAGCTTGATGAATTATGCCAGTTAACATTTGTGTAACCAGGCTGGATTAAGGTGTAGAATGTTGCCAGCACTAATTATGTTGATCACGCTTACCTTACTAAGTGCCATAAAGGAAAACAAATAGCCTGGCACTGGTGGCTCACAACTCTTATTAATGCTAGTTACTCACGAATCTGATGGGCTGGGAAGGTGGCTCAGTGGTAGAGTGCTTGCCTTGCATGCATGAGGCCCTGGGTTCAATTCCTCAGCACCACATAAGCAAAAAGAAAAAAGCCAGAAGTGGCGCTGTGGCTCAAGTGGTAGAGCGCTAGCCTTGAGCTGAAGAGCTGAGGGACAGCGCCCAGGCCCAGAGTTTAGGCCCCACAACTGGACCCCCCCCAAAAAAAAAGAAAGAAAATGAAGACCAGAATTCAACTATTAAGTGATCAGTGGGCCCTCTAAGCATGATTTTGAATTTGTTGGCTAGAGGGGAAGCTGAAAGGCACTTTTTAGTACTAGCCACTCTTTTGGTCTTCAGAGATGAGAATAAGATGCTCTGAGGTTAGAATCTTAGTCCCCTTTTGACTTCTGACATTTCTTAAGGTCATGTGGAGTGCCTGTCTCATGCAGTTTCTTTTCTTAGCAGCACAGATCCTGATCTTGCCTTTGGCATGATACTACTATAGTACTAGGAGTCAAATGCTGACCTAAAATTTGGTGCCCTTTTAAACTGAAACCCAAGATGCACCAACTTGATGGCTTAGAAATGGAATGTTTATTCAGAAAATGATGAATTGGTTATACCAGTCTCTTTCTTTCATCATCTCATTTAGTGTTTCAATACAGAAACAAAGTGAGGACGTGAGCATTTATTTTATTCAATATGACACATTGATCTTCTAGTATAAACAATGTGTTCTCATTACTGGTAGATTAAAAGTGAGACCTGAGTTCTGATTAGTTTCTTTGACACCGTTGTCATGAACTTCCCATGTATGCTGTTTTCCTTAAGAATTCTTAAATAGAGTAGTGATCCTGCAGTTTTGGTAGATGGGGAAATTTCAAAGAAAGAGCAACTGCTCAAGAATTTCCATCCTGCAGAGATTGTGGTGGCTTCACAGTCCTTATTTAGCATCTGTACTTTTGATTTTTTGGATCATTAGTGGACAACCTTGTTCTTTGGGGTAGCCTCCTTTGCCTTCTTAAAAAATAGGGAAGTGGAACTGTGGCTTAAGTGGTAGAGTGCCAGCCTTGAGCAAAAAAGCTAAGAAACAGTACCCAGGCCCTGAGTTAAAGCCCCAGTACCAGAACAAAAAAATAGGACAGGATTGCACAGTGGTCATGTGCTCTGTTGTGTGTACCAGGTCTCCCTTTGCAGATTTGCTGTCTCTGTATCTTTGCTTAGTTGCTTGCTAGAGACTTTGCTCTTCCTGCCATCCTGCTTTAGTATTCCTTTGGGGGATCCTAAAGGGCTGATAACTCAAATCCCAATATTTCATTCTCCTTGCACCTCTATCTTTGTAGGAATATATTCCTTGTTTTTCTTGGATGCATTTCCATCCAGGCTTCTGTTTCTGCCACCAGAAGAATTTTATTTCTTACAGCTAAGAATTATTTCATGATATCTACATACACACATATATCACAAAACAGGTTTTTTGGTCAGTTGGGGGGATTGAATTGAGGGCCTGAGTGCTGTCCCTGACTTTTTTTGCTCAAGTCTAGTGCTCTACCATAGCACCCCTTCTGGCTTTTTTTTTTTTTTTTTGCCAATCCTGGGGCTTTAACTCAGGGCCTAGGCACTATCCCTGAGCTTTTTAAAAAATTTTTGTTTTTGCTCAGAGCTACCATTCTTTTTTTTTTTTTTTTGTCAGTTGTGGGGCTTGAACTCTGGGCCTGGGCGCTGTCCCTCAGCTCTAGCTCAAGGCGAGCGCTCTACCACTTGAGCTACAGCGCCACTTCCGGTTTTCTGGTGGTTTATTGGAGATAGGAGTCTCTCGGGCTGGCAGGATCCTCAGATCTCAGCCTTCCGAGTAGCTAGGATTACAGGCGTGAGCCACCAGCGCCCGGCTCAGAGCTACCATTCTATCACTTGAGCCACAGTGCCCTTCTGGCTTTTTCCTTTTTCTTTTTGGTCGATCATGGGGCTGGAACTCTGGGCTTGGGCGTTGTCCCTGCACTCTTCAGCTCAAGGCAGGCACTCTACTGCTTGAGCCACAGCACCACTTCCGGTTTTTCTAGTGGTTTATTGGAGATAAGAGTCTCATGGACTTTCCTGCCCGGGCTGGCTTAGAACCGTGATCCTCAGATCTCAGCCTCCTGAGTAGCTAAGATTACAGGCGTGAGCCACCAGTGCCTGGCTCCCTTCTGGCTTTTTCTGTTTATGTGGTACTGAAGAATCGAATCGAGGGCTTCATGCATCCTAGGCAAGCTCTCTATCACTAAGCCACATTCCTAGCCCTTAATAACTTTTGGTTGGTTGTGGGGCTTGAACTCAGGGCCTGGCCAATGTCCTTGAGCTCTTTCTTTCAAAGCTAGTGCTCTAGTGCTCTACCATCTTGAGCCACAGCACTATTTCCAAATACCCTCCTTTTTAGCCACTATAAAATAAATGTTTTTGAGGTGTGTTTCTGTTGTGATGTTTGAACCTTCCCTTTTCCAGCCCAGCATGGCCTTGCTTCTTTTATGAAGAATATGTGTGTGGCCACTTTGATTTTGTGGATGGGCTTTTAGTAGCCAGCAGTTTGAGTTATGTGACATGCTAATCTTCACAAGGAGAAAAAGTCTAAGTGCGAAATTCAGTCAGGATAATAGGAACGGTGGCTTACAGGATGGCATGTGACTAGCTTTCATATCATTGAGGTTTATAATTTTAAGGGAAGATGAGAGAGAACAGAACCATGCAGAAATAACCAAAATAAAAAACCCCTTGAATATTTTGGGAGAAATAATAGTCTGTTACTTGTGACGAAAGATGGTATTCTACCAACTCAAGGTCTTGAGATAGTTCAGAGGACTTTGATGGCCTGCAATGGTTTAGTAGTTTTTGTTTTCATTTTTTTACAGTTTTTTTTTTGGGGGGGGAAGAACATTTCCTATGTTAGTTTTCTATTCTTCCATTTTTTTTTCCTTTTGCAGATTAAAGCTGAGCCAGCCAAAATAGAAGCTTTCCGAGCTTCACTTTCCAAACTAGGAGATGTCTATGTCAATGATGCTTTCGGCACTGCACATCGAGCACACAGGTATCAAGAGCCTTGTGACACACTGAGCTGACAGCAATCTTCTTGTTCAGTCCAATGTATGGCTTGCTTTTTGGAGATTTTACTATTCTGTGTCCTTTTAGCTTTGATAGAAGCTAATTGGGAATTATCATTGGTTCTGGCTGTGTATTCCTGATCCCAAGAGGAAATAAAGTTTTTTTTTTAAGGAAGAAGTTCTAATTTTTTTTGTATAAATTTCTTCCTGTGGGAATGTTATAAGAATCTTTTTTTTTTTTTTTTTTGGGTCCGGTCTTGGGGCCTGAACTCTGGGCCTGAGCGCTGTCCCTCAGCTCTTCAGCTCAAGGCTAGCACTCTACCACTTGAGCCACAGCGCCACTTCCGGCTTTTTTCTTTTTGCTTATGTGGTGCTGAGGAATCGAACCCAGGGCCTCAGGCATGCAAGGCAAGCGCTCTACCACTGAGCCAACTTCCCAGCCCCTGTTATAAGAATCTTAAGCTTGCTCTCTCTCTTTTTTGTCATTATGGGGCTTGAACTCAGGGCTTTGAACCAAAATCCTCAGATCTCAGCCTCAGTAGATAGGATTATAGGCATGGGACAGTGGTGCCCAGCTTCTTAAAACTCTTGAACTAGCTGATTGCTCAGCTCTTGGCTTACTGAAGACTACTAATTGGATATTTTAAATTCTACTTAAGTGCTTGCCTTTTACTCCTTCTCCTTAACCTTACATTTTTAGTTAAAAGCCTTATACCTCAGTGGGTTTTTTAAATTGGAGTTTAAGGATGAAAAGCTAGTCTTCTGGTATCTTAGAAGTGAAAGCATTTCAGTGCTGAAGAGAGAGATTTCTTTTACGACTAGATTTTGAATGTCTTTGATTTTTTTTTTCCCCCTAGCTCCATGGTGGGAGTCAATCTGCCACAGAAAGCTGGTGGATTTTTGATGAAGAAAGAGCTGAACTACTTTGCCAAGGCCTTGGAAAGCCCAGAGCGACCCTTTCTGGCCATCTTGGGCGGGTATGGAGAATGACACTATGCTTTTAAGTAGTGCTTGCCTGGTTCTAGGTCATACATACTTTGGGTGGTTAATTGTCAAATAGATAGTACAGTCATTGTGGATAATTGAGGAGAATTTCATGATCTATAGAGGCAAGGGTAGGGTTTAGGATTATGCAGTAATCTGGGGCTCGCAGTAGCCATCACCATTCCTAGGCCTGAAAGGACATAAGGAGAAATTTAGAGAGGCTGTTGAGAGTTCCTCTGGTGAAATTAAGTGTCCTTGATCAAGACAGAGAGAGAGACAATCACCTGGCAGGAAGGGGTATGGGGGCTTGGGAAAAAACACTATGATTGCCCTTCAGTCTCTTGCTGCTGTGCCCTGTCCAATCACCAATTGGCTGAAACCCAGTTAGATGCCAGAGGGCAAGGAAGCCACTTGATGTGGTTCATGCAGGTCAACCGTGGGTAGCTGGCACTGATAGGGGCCTACTTTGCATAGTAAGATTAGGTGATATTGGTATAAGTTAATAGTATAATTTAAGTTTGTGGGGGTGGTATGGAGGTGTTTTTTTTGCCACCTAGTGTAGTCTCCTACCCAGATATCAACAATTTCTGGGAAAGCAATTATATTTTATTTTTAGAAACCTTTATTATAGAAATTTGTATAAAATTGAATTCTAAGAGTATAAGAAGTCCCTAGATGCCTACCTTATTGTCTTATTTCCCTCTCCTAGAAGATGTGTTCCAAAAGATTCAGGATCCTTTGTTTTGGCCACTGATGTTTCTCAAAGACCTAGAACAGTGGCATGGCACAGAGTATAGGTGCCTGGTAAGGGTATTGAATTGGGTAGCTCAACAGAAAGATGCCAAAAAGCAAATGTCCAGTACTGCATCTGAAATATGATTTCAATTAGGAAAATCTATTTTTGTTCATCATATATTTGTATGTTGTTCCAGTGTGTATTAGTGTATAATCTTAACCTTGTTCTCAGAACAGTTGTCATCAGGCTCAAGAATCACAAAATTAGCCATCTTGCTCAGACACAATTGGAAATCTGAAAGCCATGAATTTTTTTGGGGGAAGAGGGTACAAAGTTAACCTATTTGGCCCCTATACTTTGTTTAGATAAAAACTTTGCAAGGTAGACGTATTTGGACCCTATACTTTGTTTAGGTAAAAGCTTGATTTCTCTTGTGTGCTAGGAATAAAACCTAGAGCCTTACATGTGCTAAGCAAGTGCTCTAGCATTGGCTGTACCTGTAGCCTAAGACTAGGTTTTTTTGTTTTTCTTTTTTTCTTCCTTTTTTTGGTGGGGGAGTTGCAGTATTGGTTTTGAACTAAGAGCCTAGGCACTGTCCCTGAGTCTTTTTGCTCAAGGCTGTCATCTACCACTTGGGCTGCAGCTGCACTTCCAGCTTTTTTTTTGGGGGGGCAGATAATTGGAGTCTCCTAGACTTTCCTGCCTGGGCTGGCTTTGAACCACCATCCTCAGATTTCAGCCTCTGAATAGCTAGGATTACAGGTATGAGCCACCAGCACTGGAATAAGAGTAGGTTTTCTAAGTCCTTCTTAGTCCTGGGCGCTACCTTTAACAAATTTTTTCAAAATGGATTTGGACTTTGAGGTAGGCAACATATAGGGCAAAGTTATGCAGAATGTTGTCATTTGAGCTATTTTCCCTGCCTTAATATATACTCAGGCTATATGTGTATTTTCACTTCCCTTGTTGATAATTCTTGCTTTCACTTTCCCTTCTAGAGCTAAAGTTGCAGACAAGATCCAGCTGATCAATAATATGTTGGACAAAGTCAATGAGATGATTATTGGTGGAGGAATGGCTTTTACCTTCCTCAAGGTGCTCAACAACATGGAGGTAGGAAACCAAACTCAAGTGGATGTGAAATAGCTCTCCACAAAATAGCAGGCTATGTACATTCAAAAAGAAAACTAGTTTCTTTTGAGCCCAGGGATTTGTGCTTGCCAGGCAAGTCTATCACTTATTTTAACCTACAACCCTGGGCTATAAAAGTTTTTCACATGAACCTAAAAACATTTATTTTGGGAAGTTGCTTTTGTCTTTGCATTATTCTATTACTGTCGTGTGTGTGTGTGTGTGTGTGTGTGTGTGTGTGTGTGTGTGTGTGTGTGTGTGTGTGTGTGTGTGTGTGTACTTACTAGGGCTTTGAACTCAGGGCAAGGGATGTTGTCCCTTAGCTTTTTCACTCAATGGAGCCACAGCTCCATTTTCTGGCTTTTTGGTGGTTAATTGGAGAGTCTCATGGCTTTTCCTGCCCAGGCTGGCTTTGACTGCCATCCTCAGATCTTAACCTCTTGAGTACCTAGGATTACAGGCGTGAGTCACTGGGTCTGGTTCTTACCTACTTTTGAGTAAACCATGTTTTCATTTTTTAACTTTTATTCATTATTATCTTTAAGTAGTTGTACAAAGAAGTTCCCATTCTACAAAACAGTATATGAATACAAGGTGTCTGACAACATTGTCATCCATCGTTCCTAACCCATCCCTTCTCTCACACTTTTTTTAAAAAATTGACATTAGGTGATTACATAAATATATTTCACAGTATTGTGGAATAGTGATACTTAAAATCACAAACACATCTTGAGCTTCACAAGGCAAATTGTCATTACCATGGTCTATAAAGTTTGTGAATTCTATGAGCTTTGACAATACAAATTATTTCTGCCACATCGCAACCATGTTTTTAGTATAATGAAGCTGACCTTCCTCCTCTTGTCCTTCCTATGTAGATTGGTACTTCTCTGTTTGATGAGGAGGGGGCCAAGATTGTCAAAGATCTTATGGCGAAAGCTGAGAAAAATGGTGTAAAGATTACCTTGCCTGTTGACTTTGTCACTGCTGACAAGTTTGATGAAAATGCCAAGACTGGCCAAGCCACTGTGGCTTCTGGAATACCTGCTGGCTGGATGGTAAGTTGCTTGACGGTTATGGTATGGGTGTAAAAAAGTATTGACATTCATTCATGTAACTGACAGACTTAAAAGAATTTTTTATTGCCATGCTCTGGCTCACGCCTATAATCCTAGCTACTCAGGAGGCTGAGATGTGAGGATCATGGTTCAAAGCCAGCCCGGGCAGGAAACTCCATGAGACTCTTACTCCAATAAACCACTCAGAAAACCAGAAGTGGCTTGTGGCTCAAGTGGTAGAGCTTGCCTTGAGCTGAAGAGCGTAGGGACAGCACCCAGGCCCAGAGTTCAAGCTCCACAACTGACAAAAAATCTTTTATTGTTAGTATAAAGGTAATGTACAGAAGGGTTACAGTTACTTTGGACAATGTCACCCCTTCACTTGATTCCAGTTTTTCCCTCCCATCCCCACCCACAAGTAGAGTTCACTTTCAATAGTGTCCAGGAAGTACCATTGCTGCATTTCTTCACCCTTTGTCCCTCCATTTCTGTGCTTCTCCTTAACCCTTCCAAAGGGTTGAACAAGACAAAAAAAAGAAAATGAGAACAGCAACAAAGAAAAAACATCTTGTTTCAATTTCCTGGAGTTAATTTCTATAAATATTTTATATGATTGGATATACATAGGGATTATGCCTTTGTTCCTCTCATAATTATTTTCCTTTGGTCTCACTGTATATGAATGCCTAGAATCTGCAATAGACATTTTTTATGTGTTCTTGGTGACTCAACCCAGGTCTTTCTACATGCTTGGAAGGGCTTTTTTTTTTTTTTTTGGTCCGGTCGTGGGGCCTGAACTCTGGGCCTGGGTGCTGTCCCTAAGCTCTTCAGCTCAAGGCTAGCGCTCTACCACTTGAGCCACAGCGACACTTCCGGCTTTTCTTTATTTTCTTTTTGCTTATGTGGTGCTGAGGAATTGAACTCAGGGCCTCTGGCATGCAAGGCAAGCACTCTACCACTGAGCCACCTTCCCAACCCCTAGAAGGGCTTTTGTACTGAGCTACACCCTTAGCCCACCAGAAAACTTTGTATGTAATACACACTGTAGAAGCTAGCTGTTAAGAGAGGATGCCCAATGTTGCAGTGAACCATTTTCTGTGGGAGAACCCATGGGGGAAAACAGTGGTAGCCCATTGTCACCTGTAATGTGGGGACAAAGCATTTTTTGTCTTCATCTGCTTAATGTTTACTTACCTGTGCTGCAGACAGTGAGACAGTGTTGTAGACTTCCATGATTTGGGGCTACTCTGGATTATGTCCAAGCCCACTTTATTCTATGAAAACATTAAGTATACTAATTACAAACAATGAAAATATGAGTTTATTAAGGATTAATATATGAAGGAAGGCATTAGGATCACAGTTCAAAGCCAGCCTGGACAAACAGTTTGCAAGATCTTATGTCTGCCAATAAAAGCTGAGTATGCTGGTACATGTAAGTAATCACAGCTATGTTGGCTGCATAAATAGATCACAGAACAAGTTGACCCAGACATTAACATAAGATGGGGTGGTGGATGTGGCTAAATTGGTTATACTAAGGCTTCTCCTAAGTTCAGTTTCAGTACTGCCGAGGAAAAGTCTAAAACCTAATATAGCTGTGTGTAGGGCAGAGGGGTCAGGGCCTCGTGTTCTCTCTTAGTTTTTTGGTTGAAGACTATCCCTTTTTCATTTAAGCCACATCTGCTTCTTTTTCTCTGTGTGTGTGTTTTTTCCCTGATGGTTAATTTTTTGTTTTTTGGTGTAGGTCCTGGGCTTGAACTCAGGGCCTGGTGCCATCCCTGAGCTTTTTTGCTCAAGGCTGGTGATCTACCACCTGAGCCATACTTCTGGCTATTTGGTTGTTTAATGGAGGTCTCATGGACTTTCCTACCTAGGCTGGCTTCAAAGCATGATCCTCAGACCTCAGCCTCCTGAATACCTAGGATTTTGGGCCCTGCTTACTTAATGTTTTTTTTTTAATTTTTTATTGTAAAGATACTATACAGAGGGTTACAGTTACATGAGTGAGGTAATGAGTACACTTCCTCTTGAACATTGTTAGCCCCTCCATTGTTTTCCCCCTACCATCCCCTCCCTCCCTCCCTTCCCCGAAGTTCTTTTTTTTTTTTTTTGATTGTGATTAAGTGATTACATAATTTCTAAGTCACAAGTTCATTCTAACTTTCCTGGAGCAAATTGTCTATCACAGTCTGTAATATATAACAGTGTTCACATGTTATACACCATACATGTGATCAGCAACTTAATGTTTTTTTAAAGAAAGAATTTTGCTGTATAGGCTCAGTTGGCCTGGAGCTCACAATCCTCTTGACTCCCTTGATATTATTTTGACAAATGTGGCTCAAACAGAGCCCAGCAATATCATTTTGGACGTTTTTTTTAAAAATGTAAGCTCTCTCTGAATCAGAATCTCTAGGAAGGCTTGTTCTCCTGGTGATTCTGATATGTGCCATGTTTGTGAAGATTGATCTGAGTTCAATGTTCAGTCTCACACTAAAGAAAGACATCTTACATTTTTTTTTTGGTAGAAAGCTGTAAGCATATTTTTAAGTACCCCTGGCCAGTAGGTGTCAGTAGTGTGTCCCTTGTCACCACTAATGTTTCCAGACATTGCCACAGGTCCCTTGTGGCTGTGTAGAATTTACCCAAGTTGAGAACCACTGGTCTAGTCCTTGACTACCATTGATACAGTGAATAAGAATGCCTGTGAAGGGCTGGGAAGGTGGCTCAGTGGTAGAGGGCTTGCTTGCCTTGCATACATGAGGCCCTGGGTTCCATTCCTCAGCACCACAGAAGCAGAAAAAGCTGGAAGTGGCGCTGTGGCTCAAGTGGTAGAGCATTAGCCTTGACCTGAAGAGCTGAGGGACAGCGCCCAGGCCTAGATTTCAGGCCCCACGATTAACGCCCCCCCCCAAAAAAAAAAGAATGCCTGTGAAATAATGGAAGGTGCTTTTTCTTTTTTCTTTCTCTGAATTTGATCTTCCAGAAAATAGACCTTCTGAGATAAGAGGTGCGAACAGGTTATATTTGTCAATCGTGAGCTTGGACAGGGCCTGGTTGCTATCTCTGAGCTCTCTTGCTCAAGGCTAGCACTCTACCACTTTGAACCACAGCTGCACTTGTGGTTTTAGGTGGTTAGTTGGAGATAAAGCATCTCATGACCTTTCCTACTTAGGCAGACTTTGATTTTCTGTCCTCAGATCTCAATTTCCTGACTAGCTAGGATTATAGGCATGAGCCACCAGTGCCTGGGTTAGATCAATGATTTAAAAGACTGAAGGGTACCTTCGGTTCCAGAGGAAATACTGATTAGCCTTCCATTCTGGTCCTTGGTAGGGGCGGTATTCTAAGTAACTTTCTATGTGATTGATTTTCTCTTTTAATTCTATTCCCCAGGGCTTGGACTGTGGTCCTGAGAGTAGCAAGAAGTACGCGGAGGCTGTTGGTCGGGCTAAGCAGATTGTATGGAATGGACCTGTGGGGGTATTTGAATGGGAAGCTTTTGCCCGGGGAACCAAAGCTCTCATGGATGAGGTGGTAAAAGCTACCTCTCGGGGCTGCATCACCATCATAGGTAAGGAAGGAGTCCTGTACAAAGCTCAATGTGGCCTGACAATTTGTATCAGGGGAAGATAGAAGAGAGATGGAGATGGCTAACTTCCTGGGTGTCTTGGCTCTGTGTAAATCATGAGGACTAAATGGATGTTCAGTTCATGGAGGATCCCTTTGATAAGATGGAGTTGGGTTGAGGAACATGCTTGCTTTCCAGTTCTGGTCCCAGTACTGTTTCTTATCTCTCCTTTTCCTTCATATTCGGTTTTCATTCCACAGGTGGTGGAGATACTGCCACATGCTGTGCCAAATGGAACACAGAGGATAAAGTCAGCCATGTGAGCACTGGGGGTGGTGCCAGTTTAGAGCTGCTGGAAGGTAAGGTTCTTCCCTGGTTTGGGGCTTATTTGGAAGCAGGGGTGAGGACTATACACTGACAAGTAGGTAGAATGGAATGGAGAGTTAATTTTTTGTTTTGTTTTGCTGGTCCTGGGGCGTGAGTGCTGTCCCTGAACTTCTTTTGCTCATCGCTAGTGCCCTACCATTTGAGCCACAGTTCCACTTTATGGCTTTTTTGGTAATGTATTGGAGGTAGGAATTTCAGAGACTTTCCTGTTGGGGCTGGCTTCGATCTGTGATCATCAGATCTCTGCCTCTAGTATCTAGGATTATAGGCATCAGCCACCAGCACTTGGCTTGGAGAATTAGTATTAATAGGTGTGTCATTATGTATTAGCAATGCAAATGGAAGAACTTCAAATAAAGCTCCTGCATCCATTTGACATGGGGAGGAGCAGAGGGACTTGCCCTCAAATATGTTCTAATTGACCTGGGACCCAAAAGTGCCTGTTTCCCAAGTTGCAGATGTATTTCCTAAAGAAGACCAGACATGCTATTGGGAAGGGAGCAGGGGGCAGGTGTGGCTTGGTGGATCCTGTAGTTAATGCTATGTATATGTTCTCTCAACAACAGGTAAAGTCCTTCCTGGGGTGGATGCTCTCAGCAGTGTTTAGTACTTTCCTGCCTCTTGGTTCCTGTGCACAGCTCCTCAGTCAACTTAGTGTTTGCAGCAACTCCATTTGGCGTTTGCTTAAATCTTTCCCTAACATCAAGATTCCACTAGTGGTCAAGAGATGCAGCCCCAGCTTTGCAGCACAGCTTTGCAGCTCCTCTTGCACCTGGGATTTGCCAACATTCTTCCAGATCCCACTTTAATGTCTCAGTGACTAAACCATTGTGCATTCTAGAATGTATTGATATTTTGCTCTTAAAAAGAAAGTGAGCTGTATTACCTTAGTGTGTTTTGATGTAGCGTATTTTGATTAGCTTTGTCACTGTTCCCTACTTAGCACTGAATCAGTAAGATGAAATTCCACCTGTGGGGAAAAATTGATCATCTATTAAAGAAATAATAAAAGTGTCCATTGCAACTGATTTTTTTCCCCCCTCGTCATACCTGTGTTAGGAAGGGTGAGAACAGAATCTTGAGGAAAGAATCAAGTATCCATTTTCTGAATGGGGCAGCAGCAGTGGGTAAGGTGGGAGGATTAGATAAATGCTTATTTAAGGCCTACTTTGTGATAGCCATTGTGCTTATCAAGGGTTATAATAAAAAGTCTGAGCTCATTTCTTTCTTTCCTAATTTCTATTCTCCAGGGTGACCATTGCCTTTTGGAATTTACTTACCTCCTTTAAAACAAAATGCTGATAGCTTCTTGATTTTTTTTTAATGCCAAATGGAAGTTTTTTTCTTTTTTTTAAATCGGTCATGGGGATTTATAACTCAGGGCTTGGATGCTCTCCCCCAGCTTTTATCACTCAAGCCTATTGCTCTACCACTTTGAGCCCCAGCACCAAATCTGGTTTTCTGGTGGTGGTGGTGGTTAATTGGAGATAAGTGTCAAGGAATTTCCTTCCCTGGCAGGCTTTGAACTGTGATGCTCAGCTCTCAGCCTCCTGAGTAGCTAGGATTACAGGCAGAGCCATGAGTGCCCAGCTATATAATGGAAAATTTAACTCTTGGATATACCCTCTATCCCACACACAATAATCCTTCAGTTTTCTAGTAGTTTTGCCATATATAATTACAAATATTCACAACTGAGGAAGTATAGTATATCTGATTTTTATCTTCTCTGGAGTTCTTCAAAATTGTTCTCATCACTTGATTCATTCATGAATCTGCCAGCAGTATAAATGTGGTATTATATTCAAACATCATATAGTTCATTTTTACTGGAGTCCTGTGCTGCCATTTATTTGTTCTGGCTGCCCTGTAACTTTGCTGTACAGTTTCTTGTTCTGGGATTTTCCTATTTCCTATAACCATGGAGACTCTTGGGTCCTAGATCCTCTTCTGTCTTCATTTTTTGTGGAAGACTCCACTAGCTTCCTAAGAAAGACAGCCTAGAATAGACAAATATCTTTGCTACCTTCTGTTTGAAATGGCTTTATTCAACTCTTATACTTGATTGCTATTTTAGCTCTGTCATGTTTATATCTGTGGGGGATTGGTTCTGGGAAGCCCCTTAACATACCAGACCATATGAGGGTCATATACTTCGCCCCTTATGTACAATGTAGTATTTGTAACCCATGTGTAGGCTCTCATATATTTAAATCTCGTTTACTTAACATACCCAATATTAAATCATCTCTACAATGGAAATGTCCTGGAATAAGCTATTGTACTATTCAGGGATTAATGATTAAAGTATGCAAATGTCCAGTACAGATCCAAGTTTTTAATATTTTAACCCTTTTTTTTTTAAAGTTGAGGGGCTGGAACTTTGGGCCTCACTGCTGTCCTTCAGTGCTTCAGCTCAAGGAGAGCACTCTACCACTTGAGCCATTGTGCCACTTCTGGTTTTCTGGTGGTTTATTGGAGAGTCTCGTGGACTTTTCTGCGGGGCTGGCTTTGAACTGTGATCAGATTTCAGCCTCTTGAGTAGGTAGGATTACAGGCATGTTTTAATCCTTTTTTATTGAGCCCTGAGTATATACAGAATTTTATCCTGAATATCACTTTATTGGACCTGAAGGCATCATTTTCACCCTTGAGTCTAATGCTATTGGATCTAGTGCTATTCTTATTCTCTTATCCTTAGAATTTTCCCTTATGTTTTTGTTCTAATTTTAGTGGATTTTTGGGAGAAAGGCAAGGTAACCAGTATTTGAAAGACTTTGTTGTTGTGCGTGTGTCTATGTGTGTTGTGTATGAATGATCATTGGGGCTTGAACACGGGCCTGCACAGCCTCCCTTAGCTTTTATCCTTGAGATTGGAGCTCTACCATTTGAGTGTACTCTACCATAAGTGTGTACTTCTGGATTTTGGCTGGTTAAGTCACTTCTGCCCAAGTTAGCTTCCAACTGTGATCCTCAGATCTCAGCCCCCCTGAGTAGCAAAAATTGTGTGAGCTGTGGGTGTCCTGGGAAGGCCGTATTTCACTAGAAAGTTCAATACTGGACATTTTGTATTCAAGATGAAGCATTAGTTCCTTTAAGGCAGATTAAAAAAAGTTTACATGTCTGTCATGGGGCTTGAACTCGGCCTGTGCACTGTAATGTAGTTTTTCACCCAAAGTTAGTACTCCACTACTTTGAGCCACAGCACCACTTCTGGTTTTCTGGTGGTTAATTGCCAGTCATAGACTGGCAGGCTTTGAGCTTTGATCTTCTGATCTCAGCATCTGGGGCAGTTAGGATTATAGGTGTGAGCCACTGGTGCCAGACTCTTAAGTTCTTGGTTTTTTTTAACCAAAGAAAGCCTTGTTTCCATTTCCTGGAGCTTATTGTACCTTTTAAAAGTACTCTCTACTAGACTTTTACACTCTTGTGATTTTTAACATTTGCTAATTGTTCATTGTTCAAAGAGGTTCCCTCTTTGTGTTCTACACCTGAATATACAAAATTTTAAGCATACTGACCCTTGCTTGCTTAATTTCTCCATCCTCATTGTATCTACAGCTCTTTAGTCACAGATGAAATTTTATTTCATCTATCCATCCAAATATACTCTTCCAGCATCTTCCCACTTATTTAAGGTTTCTAAAAAGTGACTGGGAAATCCAGTCTGAAAAACTTGGCCAGCTGGTCACTGGTAGCTTACACCTGTCATCCTAGCCACTCAGGAGGCTGAGATTTTAGGATTGTGGTTTAAAGCCAGCCTGAGCAGAAAAGTCCGAGACGCCATATAATTAATAATAAAAAAGCTTCCGGGTGCTGGTGGCTCACGCCTATAATCCTAGGTACTCAGGAAACAGATCTGAGGATTGCAGTTCAAAGCCAGCCCAGGCAGGAAGGTCCATGAAACTCTTATCTCCAATGAACCACCAGAAAACCGGAAGTGGCGCTGTAGCCCAAGTGGTAGAGCACTGGCCTTGAGCTGAATCGCTGAGGGACAGAGCTCAGGCTGAGTTCAAACCCCACAACCACCCCCCCCAAAAAAAAGCAGCTGTAAGTTGAGCTGTAGCTCAAGTGGTAGAGGGCTAGCCTTGAGCAAAAGTGCCGTGACAGTGTGTAGGCCTGGAGTTCAAGCCCCAGGACTGGCACAAAAAAACCCAACTTGGCAATTAGCTAAATATTTAAATACTATATGCATGAGGGAATTATGCCTGAAGGAATTAAAAACCTAGTCAAGGGAAATAGTTGGCAACAAATAACTTATCACATAAACTAGGATATTGCAAGGCTATGCCTCAAGTTAATAGTTACCAACTCTAGCTCATTGGTTCCTTTTCACATCCCAAATTTCCCCATGGCACATAGGGGTTTGCATGAGATCAGAAAGGGGCCTACTGGTTTCCCTTCCCAGAGGCAAACCTTCCTAGGACTAGTTTTCAGTCTAGAGTTACTTACTGCAAATGAAGAACATCCATGTATTTATGTATACTAAAAAGGTATGCTTGCTGTTTTGATTAGTACTTTCTATCCTACTTCTTGTATTTTACTTCTCTTTGGATCCCTGGAACATTAAGGTATACCTCGGTCCATCCTTCCTCCATGCTGGTTGTATTCGCTTATTTGTAGGAAATTATAAGTATTTGTTTCTTGCTTGTAAAGGGGAAGAACCTGAGAGACAGTGAGTGTCCTTACCTCATCCCAGTATATTTTTATTTTTTTTATTTTTTGTTTTTTGTTTGGGTCCGGTCGTGGGGCCTGAACTCTGGGCCTGGGCGCTGTCCCTCAGCTCTTCAGCTCAAGGCTAGCACTCTACCACTTGAGCCACAGTGCCACTTCTGGCTTTTTTCTTATGTGGTGCTGAGGAATCGAACCCAGGGCCTCGAGCATGCAAGGCCAACTGAGCCAACCTCCCAGCCCCCAGTATATTTTTAAAACCACCTAAAAGTCGGGAGAACAAGAGCTTCCTTAAGTAATCCTTAACTCTAGATTCAGCTGAAGTTAAAGGCTGTAAGTCAAAGCAGTCCTAATTTGAAAGAACAAACCACACCCACTGGTTGACCTGTTAAATCAATTAAGCTCAGATTTAGAGATATGTACAAATTCCCATCTAGTGCAAAGCTTAAGAGATTCTCATTCCTAGTGAAAGCCAACAATGATCAGTTCATCCACTAAACAGATCCTAACTGCTTTGTAGCCCTTCCCTTAGAATTACTATGCTTCATTTACCTTGAATCGCTATAGCCAGCAAAGAAAGATCACTGATAAACTTAAAATTTTTATTAATAACATTGGAACAAATAACATTAATAATAGTTTATAGTTATATAGCATTTTTCAATTTTGAAAGAACTTTCACATATACCAATTAAACCCTCACAACATTGCTGTGAGGTAGGCAGGGTAGTTGTTTTTCTCTTACTAGTGAGGAGAACAAGGCTCAGAGGTGAAGTAAGGTCAGCTTGTAAATGATGGAGCAAAGACTAGAATCTAGCTAGACCTTCAGATACTGTCTCCCTGAGAACATTCAAGTAAGATAACCATGCTAGATACAATGCACATTTCTACTATGATACCAATAAGATCTGTTTATGGAAGTGGTAAAATCACTTTCCCTAACAGCCCTTAAACCAATGAAAAATTTCTATGTTAACTGCACTGTTTTCTCAGACACATCAAGCACTATCCTAAGATGAAACTTTAAAAAGTTATGAGGATCCTTGGCTATAAATTGTAAAATATGACGTGAAGATTTTAGAAAAGTCTGTATTAAGTACTTCGGTGTCAAGTATGTAAGTTACTAAACCAGACAATTTGTTCTGTTCATGTTCTCAAGGTTTTGCTATCTGTCCCAGTAAGACTTTTTAGGTGAGTATAAATGGGAAAGTAGCAACATCACCGGGAAACTGGCATCCAGAGGAAGTCACATACTTTTCCCTTTTGGCCTATATCGGAGTGTATTAGAGTCTACTTTTAGGTTTGATCCCATCTTAGGTGTGGCTCAGCAGCAAGCTAGAAAATTATCTGAATTATA